AGGAAACTGATCTTCAACAAAGGGACATAAATATTAAATGGGAAAGATACAGTCTAATTAAGACTCACACAAAAGAAGCACACCAGCCTGTGTGATCCAAGGAATGTAAATAATGAAATCCAAGACCAGAGAAGGGAATAGTATTAGAGCTTAAATACTGAGCACACAGTTTGTAGAAGGTTATACATTAATACAAAAGCCCCAAATTTATTTTCAGGATCTCCACACAGATTAACCATCCAAAGCATCTCTTCTGACCATTGACAAGGCATGTGAATAGCCTTGTCATTAGAGAGCATTGGAAAGTGGATTAATACAGATGTAGTTAGGTTGAATTCTCCCTTTTGACTCATGTTTCAGTTTTTAATTCTCTACTTTTTCGATTGAGGTTTTTCTCTGTTTTGTTGCTGTTGGGTGGTTTTTTTGGGGGGTGGGGGCGGCTATGTTTTTCTTCATATGAAATCCAGGATAGATAACTATATAGTGACAGTAACTGATTCAATAGTTTCTTAGGGTCACAGTAGGGGAGGTTAGGGGGAAGTGGGGAGCCAATAATACTGATTTCAAGAATGAAGAAAGTGGTCTAACTTTGACTGTAATAATGACACTAATTCTAGGAGACTCCAAATTTTTTGAAGGTCCAGCAGTCAGAAGGAGGGCTTATGGAGGTCAAGTATTTCCTGGCCATGTTGCCAGGAGAGACTAGTCCCTGGAAAGGGGCGTCATGCTTGGTGATGGAGAAGGGCAAGGAAAGGGGGAAGGTCTTGCTTGACGGGATGGGTGCGCACAGGGACTGGAATCATAGGCTGAAACATAGGAACTACTGTGGGGATGAAGCAGGACTGGGCAGTGTTTCAGTCTGTTGTCCATAGGGTTGTTATGAGTCAAACTGACTCAAAGACACTGTGTTAGTCCAGGTTGGCTAGAGAAACAAATCCAGAGACACTCATACGTGTGTAAGAGAGAGCTTCACATGAAAGTGCAATTGTACATTAAGAAAAAACCCCAGCCCAGTCCAGATCAAGTCAATAAGTCCGATATTAGCCCATATGTCCAATAGTAGTCCATAAATTCCTCTTCAGACTCATGAAACACATGCAATAACGCCAAGTGCAGGAAGATCACAGGCCAGTGGGTGGAAAGTCTTGTGGATCCAGTGGTGGTGGAACCATCTTAGCGTGGCATGGGTCTCCACGTGACTCCTCGAGTTCTAAGGCTGTGGCTGCCATCAGCATAGTTCCATGTGTCTTCTCAACAGGAAGACAAAGCAGAGAGTCTGTGTATTTGGCCTGCAGTGAGCTATTTATCTCCGTGGTGCCTCCGAATGAGGTCATCAAGCTGCGACCTGATTGACAAGGTAGACTCCACCCCTCCGCAAGTTGACATCAGATTATGTAACTACCACAGGCACCAAACAATAACAGCTTTACTAATAGTGGTGGACTATTATTCATATTAGCAGAGGCAGAGGGAGCATTCTCAGTCCCTGTAGGTCTAATCAGACTTGAGAACCAATTTGGAAAGCGTATCTTTATGATTTTGTTTCTCTAAAACCATTCCTCGTAGCTATGGTATTAGGGTAGGTTCTCTACAGTTACAAAGTCAGGACACTTAAACGTGGTCATAATTTCTTTTAGGGGAATTAATACCTGATTAGTCCTAAGCAGTTACAGATTAATTATGTCCCAAATATCTAATTCTTTCAAGATGCTATCCAGCTCCATTTTGGCCCCACTCCTCCCTTGAGTATATTTCCTCATGTTCCTGGGTTCTGTAAATGGCTGCAATGTCATGAAACTCACAAAGCTTTGAGGAATTGTCTCACATAGTGGTGGGTACTTGTCAGTCCCACAGCCAAAGGCTAGGCAGGGGTGAGTCAAAGGCAGGGTCCATGCCTAAAGCCCAAAATTCACAGCAGGCTTCCTGGCTTCTACCAAGGCTCAGTCAGCAACTAGGCCTCTGGCTTTCCTGGTGAAGTGATGAGTTAGAACCACTATTTATGCCCCACAAAAGATGGTTCATTCTTTGCTTTCTTTAAAAAAAAATTTAAATCATTTTATTGGGGGTTCTTACAGATATTATAAAAGCCACACATCAATTCTATCAAGCAAACGTGTACATATGTTGCCATCATCATTTTCAAAATATTATCTTTCTACTTTAGTCTTTATTATCAGCTCCTCTTTTTTCCCTCCCTCCCCTCTCACCCTCATAAGCCCTTGATGAATTTTTTTTTCATGAAAAGAGGATTCTTAAATCACGCCCTCTAACAAGGTAAAGTCAAAGATGCCCAGAAAGAAACAAAAGGTATGAACCACCAAGGTGAAATCTCAATTCCACCCTACTCCTGTTCATCATCATAGAAGAGAATGCCCTCCAAGTTGGGACCA